GGAGCACTATGAATAAATCAGACTTTCGCAAAACGTTTTAAGACTTACTGCAGCGGTTTAGACACCTGCTAATTTATTTCAGAACTGGGCTATGGATAAGTAAATGAGCAAAAGTTAAGTATAAAGACAAGAATCTAGATACATGTATAGCAAACCAAAATAAGAGTTATGAATTAAAATTTGAAGCTTGAGCAATGTAGAACAACATGCAACAGGACAAAAATTTATGCAGAAAATGAGCTATTCATGAATACAGCTGATTGAGTAAACTGCGTGATGACGAAAATCTATATAAATAATGCCGAATTGAAACTTATTGAAGCCCAACTAAAAATCAACAAATCTATTAGGAGATTTGTCAAATGTTTCTAAAACTCCACTGACATTGCCAGTACTCTGTAAGAACTTGTTGCAGCCTAACTTCTATGGGAACAAATTGTTCATAACATCATATCTAAGTAAGGTAAGGCATTTGAAGTACAAAAATAAGAGATTTGTGAAAGTAAAGTGCTATCAACCAAAAGTAAAACAAAATTCTGAAACTTGTCATTGCCTTGGTAGAACATACAAATCTCTAATTAAAACTTCTTAATGATGTGGGTTGGATCATTACAAGAAGAGGATGCTTGAAGGATATAATCCCAATTAAGGGAACAAAGGTAACACCAAGCTTAAAGCTTAAAAAACAGATAATATTTATCAATTTTATCTCGTTCCCTTACATTAGTTAGCTATTTATAAAGCAAACTATAACTATCTAAAATATTATAGGTATGCTAGTTCTTACGCTATTAATAGTTATGATGTTTCTACATCATACTCCGTAGTGTAAAAAGAAGGCTCAACTCCGTCGAGGTGCTTTATTGGAAAGAAGATAGATATAGAAATTATAATCAATCCTTCGGGGTCAAACACTTTGCGTCTTTGATGCCCAATCATTACTCGCATGCAGGCTAGGTGCTTGAGGGATTTACTCGAAATTGAAGCATCATTTGCATCTTCCTTATAGTATGTTTGAGCTGATATTCTTCCACATACTATTTCAAAATTCTCAAAGCATGATCCCACAAAACATGCACCTCTTTTTACTGAAGATTTTTGTAGTTAAGATCCAAGTGCTAAGGCAACGCAATTACTTTAATCCACTCAACTTGTATGTTAAATGATATTTGCCAATGACAATATCATGGATATCCTGGCTTGCGCGAGCATTCACAACCAGAATAATTGGGCCATCATCTTTTCGAAGACCAAAAATTTTTAAATGAAATTCAACATTTTGCTGCTCCTTTGCTAGTGATGCTAAAAGAAGCATCTTCGTCATTGCTTCTATAGAAGAATCCTCGGCAAGAGTAAGAAAATGCCTCCCTATGACTTCATCAACTGAAAGGCTAGTTAATACTCCAGCCATTTATGAGACCATCAATATCCATTGCCAGAATGGGTACATTTTTTGTCTCAATCAAACGAACTATTTCATTAGTAATTATTCGAAGCTCGAGGACTCCATAGACTTTAAGATCATTCATATGAGAATCAATTATTAATTTATTGATTTTTTTTTTTTGATGCCATTAATTGTCCCTCTAAGTATAAGTTGCAGGGAGTGAATGGCATCCATCTCATGGTTACTCCATAATTGCCTCTTCGTCTTAACAACATCAAGAAATGCCTGGAATGAGGATCTTGGATGCATCATCCTCTCATCATCCACACCAGCTTTAACCCCTGACATTGAATCCTCAAAGATAATTGTGTGTTTAGGCGATGCATTGAACTCCTTAAGATCTCTCAAATAAGAATCTGGGAATGGTTTGGTCCTCTCACATTCACTACCAACAACTAGCGCATGAAAGAGGTATATGAGTTCAAAAATCGAGATCTTAAGTTCAGCATTAGGTCTTGGATCATTAGTCATTGATGCACGTTTCAATCCACGATCCTTGATCCATTTACATAATTTATGGAGTCAAATTACAGCCTTTACCCACTATGGAACAAGACTTCTAAACATTGCTTTCTTGTCATTCAAGAACTTTGCGATTTTGTCAGGGTCCCAATCTCGAAATATGGTTGTCCCAATAGCATCATTGGGCTTGCCACTAGGCTTCTCAACAAAGTCATCATCTTCAATATCAAATAGTACTTCTTCAAGTGGAGGAAGCTTATATAAATATTTTCTTCGGGTCTTGTTATGGAAAACCATAGTACCCCAAAGCCTCTTACGCTTCTGCTGCTGCTGCAGATTCTGCCCAGTCTCATCACTGTCATCATCTTCTCCTTCATTCACTATCACTACTAGGAACAGAGATGCTATTGAATTTAAATTCTCCATATACTGCAGATGGAAACTGTGAGGTGCCCGGAGGGTACTGCCACAAAAATTGATATCAAATAGTAGCCTCTCACCTTGATATACCCTTATATGTGGAATCATGTTGGGGTGAGGGAAAGCAACGGGCATTGGATTTTCGAAGCAGAGCGGACGCGAGGACAGAGTGTCGGTGCCGAAATTGTGTTAGAAGGGTTCAGATCATGGCTCTGGTTGTGAGTTGGCGAAGAATCGAGATTGCATGTCTGGTTGCGATCACCATCGATCTCACGTGGGCGGGAGGAGGGGCTGGATTTCTCGTGGGCGGTAGGAGAGGCCGGGTCAAAGATTTGCGAGCGAAGTAATCTTGCGAGAGCTCTAAGTCGAGAAGAGGGGTCGGATCATAGGGGAATACAGAGGAAAAATCGAATGGATTAATTAGAGGGACATCAGCAAGCAGATCTGAAGGTGAAAGCGGAGTTGGGCGTGCTGGGGGGTGTTCAGATTTTTGTGGAACCAGAGTCACGGGAGCTAAGTGGGAGTGGCAGTGGGGGTAGTAACGGGAGCGGGAGTGCAGTTCGGACGGAAGCAGGAGAGGGTTTGGGGTCACAATAAAGTAGATGGTCGTAGGAAGAGTTGGAAGCATGGGTTGTAGGTAACAGATGAGCACTGATCTGGTCACAAAAGGAAGAGGAATCAATGACCTTTGTGACAATAGGCGATGATTTGGCGTGGGATTGCTCGACAAGCTTCATTGTTATATTTCGCTGGAGCATTGCAGACGAATCTTGAGGTGATTGCGAGTGTGGTCGGGATGAGTTGGGAGACGGAGGATGTTGGAACCATGGGGGGCCACGCCACCGAAGCAAAAGTTCAAGCGGAGGGTAATCATGGGCGACTGCGGGTGGATTGCGAATATGTTTGCAATCGTGTTTGAGCTGGGATAGGGTCAGTTGTGCGTGCGTATTGTAGGAGCAGAGGAGCGACGGGTCGGTATGGTAGCCGACCCGCGCATGGTTCTCTCCAGGGAATGCAAGAAATTAACACATAAAGCATCCATTCGATCAAGTGATGCAATCACTTGAGCTACCCAAAGGGGTTTGCGGCGTCGATCGTCGTTAATCGCCATTCTTCTTCGGTGTCGATCATCGTCGAACACCCATCTTATTCAGCGTCGATCTTCATCGATCTCCCATCTTCTTCGGCTTCGATCGTTGTCAACAGCCCACCTTCTTCTGCCATCCATCGTTCTTCACAAGCTTCGGGCTCTGATACCAATTGATGTCGGTTGGATCGTTGGAAGAAGAGGATGCTTGAAGGATTTAATCCCAATCCAGGGAACAAAGGTAACACCAAGCTTAAATCTTCAAAAACAGATAATATTTATCAATTATATCTCTCACTCCCTTACATTAGCTAGCTATTTATAAAGCTAAATAAAACTATCTAGAATATTAGAGGTATGCTAGTCCTTAAGCTATTAATAGTTATGATGCTCCTACATGACTTAACAACTTACAAGTTGTTAAACACGATTAACACCTTGCAATATCCATAAAATATGAACTCAATTGCTAGCTCAGATAAAAAAAAATTTGTGCAACATCAAAGATTACGACGGACCAAAATTCTGAAAAAAGTTCATAAGAAACTTACACTTAAACCAGATTATTTGTGTGGAACTTTGAAAAAAGTCCATACCAGTAATCCAACTCGCCCCGTTTCATTACTCCTTATCAACAAATCAACTTCTCCACTTGTCTTCAGGTGCTTTAACCTTTCAAGAAACTAAGGAATCGACACAATAAAGACTACATAATAATTAAATTACCAGGTTCCATCCCTTTTCGCAGCCTCTGGAGGCAAGATATAGAATCTGAAAAACTCAGCTCAGCACAAATAAATAATCAGTATTGGAATCGGAGGAGAAATGAAGAAGCCCTAATTCTTCCAGCAATCAACTTCACTAGTATCTATTTCATCCTTGGAACTGCTCTTGGCGCTGTCCTCAGCATCCTGGTTGCATTCCCTCCAAAAAGAAAGCTGAAGTCGGTTGTAAAATGGCCATCCCCATAAGTTTAGACCACAACCCGACCCCCTCCTACTGCTTACCCTTTAGACGGTTATCATTCCCCTTGTTTGGAGGCTTTGAACCCTCCGATTTCCTACCATTGTTGCAACCGACATCTCAAAGCTGCACTCCACATCCCCAAATGTCGATGGCCTGGAGCTCTCACACGAACTATGAGAGAGAGGGATGGATTTGGATCACCATAGAGAGGGATTGGGATGGTGGGCTAGGGCGAGATCGGAAACTAGGGCATCAAACAGTAAAACAGAAGAAACATATTTTTCTTACAACAACGGACAACTAATTGGCTTCCAAAATCATAAATATTTAGGAGATTTTAGTAGGGGTTAAAACCGCTGTCTATACCTCTCTATAGCAGCGGTTTATAAACTGTCGCTATAAAGTGCTGCAAAAACATCATATTTTTTATAACGGAAAGCGAATCGATTCCAATAATAATCTTGGAGTCTTCCATTGCTCTGATTGTTGATTGTGAACATCTGAACATATGATTTTCCTTTATTTTATAATTAGTATTATCACTAACAATTTTATAAATAATAATAATTATTAGATATAATAAATCCTTCTGATTTGCTCGTTCATGCTTCAAGCGGAATGAACGGCAGAGCGTTCGGCTAGTTGTTCGCAAGAGATTGGTTTAGTCTGTTCGGGTGTGTAGACGGACGGAGGAATCGCAGATACGGCTAGGTTGTGTTGGTAGAGGGTTGAAGCCGGCTTGGAGTGTAGCGATCAGGTAAAAAAAATGAACAGGACTGTCGGCGGTCAACGGCGTCGGGCTGGGACGCAGACAGAGCATAGATCGGCTGTTTTTGGTTGTTTCTTCGTGAAGAGCAGAGACGGACAGGGAGGTCCTGTTCGATCGCAGAATCCCAAGTTTCTGCCGGCGCTTAGGCTTGAATCGGAGACGAAGCCAAGTTCTTCCTCTGTCCAGGAAGTTGCCGAATGCCCCCCAAAGAGAAAAACCATAAGGCAGAATTTCTCTTGCAGTTAGTTCGCGTCCCCTCCTTCCCAAGCAACGGTCAGCTTAAGACGTGGGAGAGGTTTGGGAGAACGTGCTATAGTTTTTTTTCCTTGGCAACCTGCTATTTATTTTATTTTATTTTTGCTTCAAATGTATACCGAAGCCAAATTCTTTTCAACACGTTATTATATTGTTTCATAAATTTTTCTTGCGTCATCTTGTCGTGTTTCATGCATGTTTCACCTTGTATAATTAATCATGTTTGCTTTCCAGCTCGTTGCTTTGAGCTCTTTTTTTGTGCATTCTCAATTTAGCCAATAGCACTTATTCCTATAGCCTTATCTCAAATCTTCCAAAGATTTAGTCTGGTGCAGCTATTGAATATTAATGTCCATAATTTCTATAACATGGATGGTTGTTTGTTTTGGTCTTTTACATCCTTTCACGATTTTAATTCTTTCTGCAGTGCCCACGAGGTGTTCGATGAAATGATACTTGGAGTTGGTTGGGATCCAAACAATGCTCCAACTTCCAACTTATAATTGGGTCTCGTGTGAGGGTGATTCAAGTAATTGTAACCACAAGAAATTTTTTCATGCTTTTGGAGATGTTACCACGTCTGTCTAAATCACACAAAAAAATAACTTTTTTTTTTCTGTTAGTTGCTTCTTCATGATTTCTCTGAAATAAATCCTCCATGATAAAATCCGTTGTAGTCTATAGAAGTTCACTAGTTGTAAAAACTTATATTTATCTCTGTTTTCTGAACACCGTATGCTCCAGTGACATTTATATATACATCCATACACAGTATATTAAGTATATCAGATCAGTAAAATTGTAGTTTGTCAGCATGTCTCTCCAAGGCATGAAGTAAGAAAATTTAAGCGCTCCAGCATATAAAAATATTGTTTTCAAATATCAGTAATTATGCTTGGGGTTTCTGTTTGAACCGGAATTGCATGATTGTAGCCACGATTGAGTCTTCTTCTGTAGGTTCGCTATGAGCTGCATTTATATTATGCTGATATGTTATTATTATTATTATTATTATTATTATTATTATTATTATTATTATTATTATTATTATTATTATTATATATATATATATAATGTATTTAAATGTCGGATTTTTTTTTCTTTACCATTGTCAGTAGTTACTTCATGCTAAAAAAAAAACTTCTTGCTATTGTTATAATAGGAAGATTTTTGAGTGATTATCTCAAATATATCTTGAACCTCCATTGTCACTTCATTCTTTCTCTACTCCAACCAGAGACAGACACATTATTATTTGCTTTGAAACTCATTGAGGCTCTACTACATAATGCACGAGACAGCAAGAAGTTTCCATGGTTTTATTTCAAAATAGTCCTTACATCTATATGCCACATGAACCCTTCTTGTGATTCGACCAAACTCAGTAAGCTTCATTAGTCGTGATGAGAAAGATTGCTTTGTTAATGCTATTAAGTAGCATATTTGGTCAGTCAAACATATTTGTAGAATTAAAGAACATCTAGAAAATCTTTAAGAAAGATAGATGCATATCTTTTCACTCATTGGGTATTTGAGACATTGCAGCTAGCATTTCTAGACAACATTTGAAGAGTTTCTCTCTTTCTCTCTCTCTCTCTCTCTCTCTCTCTCTCTCTCTCTCTCTCTCTCTCTCTCTCTCTCCAAAAATCATCAAAATCATGTCTTGCTTTTATTCTGACATTAATTTAGCAGTTTTATCACATTGCAATTATATTAAATTTCAACAACAATGTAAACAATCACATTAAATTATCCAAAATTTAATGTTTAAAGTCCATATGACCAATGCCATTTTATTTACAACTCAGAATTTGTTGAAAAGTAAAGTGGACGGGTACCACTGATAATATATCCAGATTCTAATCCTAAGACCGACGCAACTGATTTTTAAATGGGATATCTCTTCTTTTCTTCACTTCAAATATAAAACCTTATTTCGGATGCATCACCGCAACACCATAAAGTTGAGCACAGCGCTCACCTTTACGAAGCTGCTACACTCAATTAGAATTTTCAAATCCTTCTAGATTCTCAAACCTGAGAGCCTAGCATTGCAGTGGCGAATTCCTACACCGTAGCACTTAATTTTTCTCCCAAAATAAAGAGGACAATACCGCAGCGCAACCATTATCAGTGCCATAGCTTCTAGAATATTTTGTCACTTGACATTTTAGCTTTCTTCATTCCAATCCTAGACTTATCTAAAGCTAATTAAGCATTATAAGACTTACAATTCATGAATAAATAAAAAATAAGTAAGAATTCATTCCAGGTTAGGTTAATTGACTTGGTTTTGAAACAACAGATATTACAGTTAAATTGTTAGAAGTGGAGCTCTTTTATCATATATGAAAGATTATTTGAAGAAGCTCATTGTTGTGATTTAATAAGTGATTTCAACTTTTGTAACTTTTGGTAAGTGGTGGAAATGAAATTTCTAGGAAAGTCTTGGGAGAAAATGTTTTGAAGGGCCTTCCCAAAATTGAGGAAATATGGTCCATTATTTCTTAAACAAGAATCTGTGATTTTTCTTTTGTTACGGCATGGTTTACAAAATAATAGGGAGTGATTAGAACACCTTAGGCCTTCAACCTTGTAGAAGGAGAAGGTGAATAGATAAAGCCAGATATATTTATCAAAATTCTATCTAGTTTAATATGAATAGAATTATCAATCCTATTATTCGGCCAAGTATATAAGAGGATCTTTGGTGCCACTGTCAAAATCATGTCGTTGAGTTCCCAAAGTTTATCATTAGGGATAGGATTGTGAATTGTTTTTTCATAATGAAACCTGCAACAATTCAAGTCACTCACAATAGCTTTTTCATAATGAAACCTTCAACAATTGTGATTTCAGTGTAATTGTTGTTTTTTTTTTTCATTTGTGGCTTTTGTAGACTTATTTGTAGAAGTTTAATTTTGCTTGATCATTGAAGAGTTACCAGAGACTATCTATAGAATTGATTCTTCAGGATGCAAAACAACAAATTTATTTTGGTTTTGGCTTGAGGTATTTGGGTGAGGAGATCATAGGAGGTAATTTTTCCTCTAAGGGAGAGTTGAGGTTCGCTATTGCTTTAATTTCTTGGCAAGAGGAAGGTGGAGGTGGAGCACTGTTGCGGATCATTAGTAACATCAGAGCAAGCGTTTGTAGCAGGCATGAGAGTGGTGGAGGTTAGTATTTTACTTTTGTCGTCGATAATACATTGGTAGGATAAGGATTGGATAGTGTGTCATGAATTGCTGCGACATGCTTTTTTGTTCGCCCGCTCCTGCTTCTCCCTGTGATGGCCAGGAGAAATTATTAGGTTCAGACACCTCACAGAAAACAGGTGACTAGTTCTATAAAGCACTCTAGAAACTGAAAATTAATGACTTTAACAACTAATAATAACCATCTAAGCTTTCAATTTTGCTGAACATTGCAAATTCTAACCGGTTAATTGCTACAGTTTTTAAACAAAATTTATTTATCCCACTCATCCCTGCTTAACATACCTTGATAAAGCTTGGAACTGTAAATCTGAACAGCTTATCCAAACAAATATTTTATTATTTTTATGCTTTCTTAACCATTTCAAACAGCTTGTTTGGCCTTCCAAATGTTTTCCCATTTCTTCAATAGCTTCTTCCATTTCTAATTTTCTCATTCCAAATGTTTTCTCATTTTATCATGCCTTTATCGTCTAACATAAATCTGACAAAAAATCTAATTTTGCGCTGTAATTTGGCCAATTTTTGGGGAAATTTTCTCCGGGGAAATGCAACTTTCATGTAGTGTTCTTTTGTCCAAGAGAGCTGCTTATTTCTATTATATCCTCCTCTTTTTCCTTTTGAAAACACAGCACAGCAAAACTTGAAGAGTAGATCCTCCATGGTTGTACCCTTTCTCTTGAAAAATCAAAGCAAGAAAATCTTATTTGCAGTTTTATAAACTCTTCCACTTCTAATTCTTTTTTACTATAAAAATTTGTAAGTTGTAAATTCATCTCTCATTCCAAGAGCTTTGTTTTAAGTTTAAAATTTATTCTCTTAGTATTACAAGCTTCAAGCATCCAAGGGAATAATACAAAAATTTCATTCCGGACTTTCTGTGAGATCAAAGAGTTTTAATATCAAAGATTTTGCTCTCTAATTTTTTTTCCTTCTTCATAGTTTTAATGGCATTTCTATTTATTGAGTGTGCACTTTTTATAATAATTTCATGTTAAGAACAGAAATCTAGCTTTTCTTTGTTTCAAAATTATTTCAAAACTAAGTGAGCTTTTTATTGCACATTTTGTTTAATTAAGCAAGCTTTCATTGAAAAGAAAGTTAATAGTACATCAAGAAAATAACTAAAGCTTTAATTTCACATACTTTTATTAAGAATTGAACACAATGGTGACATCATTTATTCCACACAATTATTAGGATACTTCATAAAGTATTTTTTCATTATATACAATTGCATTTAGTTTTGAGGGCAATAGTATTCGTTATATATATATATATATATATATATGGCATATTCTGTATATCAGCACATGTTGTTCTACCCCTACGCCTTAAAGGATTTCCTTTCTTATCTACATAATTCAAAATAAATTAATAAGCATGAATAAACATGATAGGTCCTTGCTTATCTACACAATTCATTTTAAAAAAAAAATCAACCCCTTCAATATAATCATTACTCCATTTTGATTTTGACATCCAACTCTTATCCATCAAGCCTGTAAAGCACTCGAAAAATACACATTTAATAAGCATACACAAAATATGTCTGAAACGATGTTGATGTAAAAGGAACTGACAATAAAAATTATATTGAGATAACAATTATTATAGTTATTTTGGGATTATAAATTAGAATCCCATGTGATATGATTAAAGATTTTAAAATAATTGCATACAAGTCACATTTTTTGCACTTTTATTGAATCAAATATAATAATAATGTTGTAATTATAGTTGTATGCATCTTTGTTGATCAGATTTCCCTTTGCTTTTAGGATGTATTGAAACTCGGAACTAATTCTCCATATAGCTAAGGCTCATTGGTTGTCCAAAGGCAATGACAATATCCAAATCTTTTTTCTAAGAATCCAAGGGAGGCATGCTTCCATTAATAACATTATGAAGTTTCAACGTCGTTCTTGGATTGGTTGATTCTGATCATCAAAATGCTTATAAAGGAGTTATACAAAAAACCCTATGCTAATACCTTCTAATTCTAATATCGAGTGGGCAAGACTATTCTTGTGGATCTAATCCCTGATATTGTTGAGGACATTTTGTTAGTATGATATCTGGGGGGTTATATTGGTGATACATAAGAATAAATTCTAGGATGTAGATTGTTTCATTTTTTATTTTTCCAAACTATATGGGGCATTATTGGAAAGGAGTTTCACTGCAGTTGTCCATTTCTCTTATCTAACTTCAAGTTCTTGAAGAATGAAAGGTCATTCCTAACCCAAATATAGAGCTCCTGATTACATCAAGGACTTCATGACAACATTCTTGTAACTTCTACAAAATTGTTGCCATAATCATTGTTTCTATGCTCAAAAAAGTGCTTCCTTTCATTATTTCTCCTATTTGGAGTGCTTTCATTTCTAACAAACCACTTAATGAAAATTTTTATTGGGAATTTAACTTCTTTGTGGCTTCCACACGTTGTTAACTCTGTATATATTTAATTATCAATTTGTGTATTTACAATGAGATGGATGACCTATTGACACGACGTCGCATGCAATGAATTTGAAATGCCTCAACCACAATGAAAATCACTCAAACTTTATTTGTTTGGTAAACAAATTTTGTCA